TTAGTCAAGTCACGTGAGGATGGTTTCGATAATGAAAGCACAACTTTTAAAATTAGATTTAATGATTGGGACACTGAAGAAAACTGTCATGCTGATAAGAATTTCGATACATGGTGAAAAGCGATAAAAAGTTTTGCAAGAAACAAAACTGCTATTGACATTTAAGTATTGCGTTAAGCGATAAAACGTTTTCATATATAGTATTTAACTTTAAGAGTCTCTAAACAATGTGAGTTTTTATGTGCTTAAGAAGGGACTGTTTCAAACTAAAGGACTGTTTACAAATTTCACATCGAAGTGGTTTCGTACAAGGTTGAGTGCTATTGTGTTCTACAAGGGTTGCTTTACTAAAAAAACACTTCTTGCAAATGTTGCATTCAAATCGTTTTTCATGGGCACGCATTGCGGGCTTCTGGTTCTGGCTCGCCCCACCGCCACGTTCCACACTGCTTGTTGATGTTCGAGCTGCTAGTGAAGCTGCGATCAAGAGCCGGGCGCCTTCAGTGTAGCATCGGACAGATGCAGCTGCTCGCCGTTGGCTTCTGGTCCATTTGCCACCAGCCTCCTTGTCGTCGCCGTCCTCTAAAGGCTGCCCAGCACCGTCGGTGGGGTCCTCTTCCTTGATGATCGGCTTGGTATCGGTCTCGGCGAACTGCTCAGCAGCTTCAGTGGGGTCCCATCCCATGAACGGCTTGGTGTCACTGGCCTCGTCGGACTGCTCAGCAGCTTCGTCAGGGTCCTCCATCAACGGCGTGGTGAGTGGCGAGCGGCAGTCAGGCCGTAGAGAGGTCCGAAACGCATTGCCTGCCAACAGCGATATCATCACTTTAGGGCTGCTTATTGGATTTCACTGGTTTAAAGGACCGCCACCAATACCACTCACTACGCCAAAAGCATGGACGTAGGGTAAGATGCCCAATGATGGACACCTTAAGAGATGGATCTGCCCAGTGATGGACACCCCTTTTCATTGGAATGTAAACAACGGAGCGAGTAGGAGTCTTACTAAAACATTAGTTCCGTGCCAAGATCGTAAAGTGACGAGTTTGACTGCAAATCGAGAAAAGTAGCTATCACTTGTACAGCGTCCATCACTGGGCACCCTCCCTACGACACCAGTCTTAAAAAAAGCAAAAAGGTTTACGAAAAGCGCAGACGTAGATTTAGGAGGCTGCAACCTGCAACAGAAAAGGAAATTAG